CTCTCTCTCTCTCTCTCTCTCTCTCTCTCTCTCTCTCTCTCTCTCTCTCTCCCTCCCTCCTTCCCTCACCCCTCCACTACCCTCATTTGAGAATACCGCACTCCCCTCTTTTTACAACCCGACACGTCACAAATTCCCTAGGTACAGCTCCCTATGACAAAGTACACCGTCAATGTGTGTCGCTATAGTTAATCCCTTCTGCCGCTGTTCGTTCAGTAAACGTAATTAATAAGGGCGTTACACTTAATTATGGCGTCATTTGACATTTGATCCACGTACTATAAGCAATGCACAAACATTTTACTCGCTCAGTCCCTACGAACATATATATTTCACACTAGGCATTATCTTATCATCTAGGCACAGACGGTGGGATCGTATCAGTTAGTTAGTTTTAGAAGAGGTTTTATGGCGCTCGCAACTGCATAAGGTCATATGAGCGCGAAGGATGGTAACAAATTCGGCGATTGACTCTTAGATAGAAAATATAACTAGCACTTTTTCCTTCGCAATACCTAACCTGTTACCCCTATCTATCAAGGCATCTAATGAAAACCGAAGGCTCACAGACGGCAAGTTCCGCGTGAGTAATGAGTACATCTCATACCCGGTGCCCATTGGAGGCTCGGTTCGGATCGGTTCGGTTTTTTCCACCCCTTTTTTTTAGTAGAGTTTTTACGGCACTCGCAACTGTATAAAGTCATATGAGAGCCAGAAGATTAGAGGTATTAGAGTAACAAACAAAAAAGAAGAAGCGGAAAAAAGGAAGATAGATGTTTGATAGGAAAGAAGAAGAAAACCACACCAGAGCATCTACTAACCACCCACTCGGTTCGGTTTGGTTTCTAGCGGCTTCAGTGCACACTAAAATAGACCAACTGCCCAAGCCGACCGTCCGACGCGCGGCCTTGAAAAACAAAGGCCTTTTGTTATTGAAGGTCATCATCGGTTTTGTCGGTTTCGATGGTTTTGCCGCTCCCGTGGAACACAATCCGGCTAGCCCCTTCTTAGTTTAGTTTTAGTAAGTGTTTTACGGCACATGCAACACAATAAGGTCATATAAGTGCGGAAGATTAGAGGAATTACATGGGAGTAGCAAACACAAAATAGAAGGAGGGGAGATAAGGACGATAGATGTTTGATAGGAAAGAAGGAGCAAACCACACCAGAGGACCGCCAACCACCCGACGGCTAGCCCCCAAACCGACAAAAATTGACAAAAACCCGACAAAACCAAACCGAACCGAACCGAACCGATGATGCCAATGGGCACCACCTATAACCAGCGAGGTGGTACGTCGTAACTCCGGTATGCGGGTTGTTTAAGTCAACACTAAAGAGTACAAGTACAAGTTCAGGCAACACGCCAAAGGAAGAAAGACAAAACAATCAACAGAGAGAGAGAGAGAGAGTTCGAGCAATAATGATGTTTAACATTTTTGCTTCCAGCTCTTCCCTCCTCTTAATTTTGTATGCGAGCAGGTGACGTGAGTCACCACGAAGGAGCAAAGCGTCCAAAAAAAAAAAAGAAAAAAAAAAAAAAGAAAAAACAGTGGAATTTTAAAAAGAAAAGTGTGAACTGAAGGAAGCGCTGCCCGGATAATCGTGTTTCAGGGAACAAAATTAAAAACAGAAACCACATAAAAAAAGCAAGGCAGCAATCAGAAGAATAAAGGACAGAACAATAAAACAAAGTTATTTTTTTTTAAAGCAGAGAAAGAAATGAAATCTGAGCAGAATTTTTACGAAAAGAAAGACATGAATTAAAAACAGCACAGAAAATCGCACAGGAAAAGGAGCCTTGAATGAACATATTTAAACATAATTTTTAGAGGGGGTGGGGGGCTGTACGATCAAATAAACGAAGATGTAGAATGAAATTTTAAAAATTTTAAAAGCCCATCACAGAATTAGAGAGGTGACAAACATTTTTTCCTTAATGCCAACACAATTATCTTTCTTATGTAAGTACAAGGAAAGAGATTTTTAAAAATAAGGCACAGGGTGTAGTTAAAAAGCGCGGGAAGAAGAACCCGGAGAGCTAGAGGCTATTTCGCCAAAATTACAGAAAGAGTCTCTGGAATTTATGAGAGCGTCGGTGACAGGCCAGCAGACGACCTGAGTGGAATACTGAGTGCCCCCGCCAGGGAACGCCAGGAAAAGCCAGAATCTCGGCGCCTGGGCCGCATGCGCCTACTTTACGTGCGAGTGTGTCAAGGAGCGAACCGAGGAGGGCCCGTGTGCACGCGATTCCCGCCGAAAAACGACGTGACCCGAATTACAAGGGACGGTAAAGTGAGTCATCAAAACAAAATTGTACTTGTTTACATTTCGAATATAACCATGGCGTTCTTTACTTAGTAGAGTACGCTATGAATATAACACGTTTAAGAAAAAAGAAAGGAAATAGGAAATTCATATTGCAATTTGTAATCGTAGATGTTTCACGCCCCCCACCGACACTATTTAGATCATTTAGGAAGCGGGCTTCGACCCTGCATATCCAGGGCCATCCCAGGCTGAGAGGGATACAACATCCCAACAGAAAGACCCGAAATACTCGATAAAAATTTTTCTCCCTTCTCAGGAATCACACTCGGGTCTCCTGCATGCAACAGCAAAATGCCTAACCTCTTCACCACTCTACCGGTAGGGGAATCCTTGTATTAATAGAAGCCATGCTTTTTTCATAGATCAAGTAAATATGTATCTCCTGTAGAGTAGCATTTAAACCAAACTTCCAAATGACTTGTACTGTATGATACTAGTTGCAAAAAAAAGAAGAAAAAAGCCACGTTTAGCACGGAACATACTGTGTCAATTGTACCTATGAAAACAAGGAACAAATGTCGCCAGAACAGCGACAACCAGTGTGTTATAAGTACATGTGCCAAAGACGATACCCCGAGAGCAGTGACCAGGACGTGGAGGGATGACGTGGACAAACAACGGAACTGCTATACAAGGAGCAGATCCCGGGGACATGACAGCTCCAATATGTCTTCATCATTTTGAGGACGGACACACTGGTGGCACGACCCGATCTAAGGACTTTGTGGCCATTAAATCCTGTGTCTCTTTATGGTAACATTTCTAGCATGAATAAATGGACGTCCAATCAAAAAGATTACTGGGTTTGAAGAGAAATACATTTCTCATTGAGATTAATAAGGTGTTTTCTTCTTCTCTTTATTCTTCTTGAATGAGTAATGTTACTCTCAGAAAATATAAGTAACATGTTTTACGGTTGCCACATCGTTTGATACGGTAATGGAAAAAAAAAACCCATTTGCTTTAAAATAAGAAATCAGAATTCAACTCAACATAACTCTCATGGTTCTTTCATTTTTTTTAACAATATGGCATACTCAAATCACAATGAAATGACCGGTAGCGAACTTACTTTATTGATGTAATAACCTTTCAACCACGTTTTTACTTACTACTGATTCAGTAACAGATCTGTCTAAACGACTACGTATAAAATTTCCTCAGATGATAATGGTAACGTTTCATGTATAACATTCAGAGGCAAATTGCATCATATCCCAGAAGGCCCCCCATACGAGTAATGAAATAACTAAAAATGAATCACTCTTTTGCCTAAAATTTCTATAAACAAAAGACGGTTTTGCTGTCTTACATAAAATATTCGGTTTTCAAGAGATCGTGAAGTCTTGACAAGATTGAAAAAGCTGGTCGTCCGATTTCAGCAACCGTACTGTAACGTCATTACCCACAGAATTAAACATTTCGACGCTTGCCTTCTTCGGCGTCTACAAGCAAATTGTCCAATCCAAAATGACTGACAAATGAGCGATTGTTCGCATTCTACAATAGCGCTTTTACCTGCATAAAATACAATCCGTATGTTTGCCGTCCACATTTACATTACAAATCTTGCAATGCAATCCGAGCGACGGTTCACCGTGATTATATTACTCCCCCCTCACTCTCTCCCCCAAAGAAAAAAAACCAAAGCAAAAAACTAGCAGATCTGACAGGGACTGGCGGTATAGTCCTTTTTCAGTAACGTCGCAAACCTCACAATCAGATTGTTCACTCTGTTTGGGAAGTAATAAGTGGGGGCTAACAGAAGCCGCAGAAATCGATGATAAGACCTGCCAAACAAGGGACGCCGGCTAGTCAATATGTCATAAAAACGACGGAGATCTGCATGTATAATTTGACTCAATAACTCGAGGCTGTTCCAGGGGGGGGCCAAAGGGGCAAGGCAGAAGGGGAGACCGCGAGACCTCCAGGCAACTCTCAAAGGTTGCCCGGTCAGGGCAAGATCCTGTCCCCTACACAAGGGAGTTTATACCCCCACCCGACCCCTCAAATACAAACCAAACAGAAACAGAAAAAGAAATACGAAATAATTAATATCACTCCTACAGACTTTGGGACACTGTCAGAGGGTGCTATGGCAGCAGATCAGCTTCAAAAATGTTTTGGCAGAAAGCGATACGATAGCATATTTACTGGTCACATATTCCGTAATATTGTCACAATCCTGTTCATGTCGAGATTGACAGCAGCAGTTAAGATTCTTTTTTTTTTAAATTGAGACTTTATTTAAACCTCGTACTGGTGAGCGCCGTGGGTACCAAGGGAACTTGCAAATCGTTACTGACTCTTTCATAACATTAATTGGGGGCGACATCAGTTCAGTTTGTATTACACTTAACAATCGCGAAGGCGTTCACAGCTTGATTCCTCAAAGGGGAATGTCTTAATTTTCATCGTTTAAAAGAATGTCATGCTCTCAAACTTCTTGGCGTGGACCTTTCGTAGACAAACCTCAAAGCGTAGGTCTAGTCTATTCGAATCACCTTAGTGTATTCAAATGTGCTAGATTTGATGACTGGATAGATGTTTCACCGTAGGTCTTGTCTATTCTAATCACCTTAGTGTATTCAAAAGTGCTAGATTTGATGACTGGATAGATGTTTCACCGTAGGTCTTGTCTATTCTAATCACCTTAGTGTATTCAAAAGTGCTAGATTTGATGACTGGATAGATGTTTCACACAATTTTGGTCATACAAAGGTGGGTAAAATATACGACTACCGTTGTGCCATTCTCTACATGTTCACTGTACCTTTTGTCTTCTTCCAAATTCTGTAAGCCCCGCCCTCCCCCTGGGCCGCCCATCATCCAAGTATGTCCAGTGGCCAGAGACCACGTGACTTTCACAATACACACGAGGGGGACATGCGTGAGCGTGCATAGGCCTGGGACTTCCGTTGTCCGTCTCAACTGTCAATCAGCCTCTTATCCTGAGGGCGGGGTGCGAGGGGGTCCCATAATATTTCCGACGAGGTGAAAAAGAGGGTGGCTTGGGGGTTGGGGGGGGGGGGTTGGGGGGTTTCTCCTTATGATTAAAACATTCTGGAAATCTTCCAGAAACCTTGAGACGAGGCTCCGTGACCCAATGCTTTGAGAGGGAATGGCTGGAGGGGAGGGGGTGGGGTAACTAGATGCACTAGGGTCCCCAACACTATCAAGGGCGGATGGTGTAGGAGGTTCCGACAGATACTTCAGCCCTCTCGCTACTTCAGACATCTACAAGTGTACATAAAGCCAGGATTTATAAAGTAACCCACCCCCCCCCCCCTTCCCAATACAACGTAAGCTATTAATTAGGCAGAAAACTACTTCGTATTCACGAAACTCCATCAAGGCTCCCACTGAGCCTAATAAACGGCTCAAAACGTCATCGAACCGGGAGGACCGACCACGCACATGGTGCATTGAGCCGAGCGAGAGCATCTCGACAACAATGCCAGAAAAAAGATCTCATCGGTACCAGGGAGCGGCAGGGGTCTGAGGGAAAAAAGGGGTTCGAGGTTTGGGAGAGGGGGAAGGGGGAGGGGGGCGAGAGGGGGAGGGAGAGAGATAGCTAAGATGGTCGTGACTCATTATCGAACCCGGGACGGACGGGCGGAGTGTGGGGTGTCTCCGGCTAAATCATAATCCTCTCAACGAGAGTCGACATGGAATCGATGGAGACGACAGAACAATGGAGGGCCGAGGGGAACGAACAGGGAACTTAATGGAAGGCTAGGCCTGGGGCTAATGACTTAGTCTCCCAAATATCCGAATAAATGGGCACTGATATCATTTTCGAAGATCCGAAAATTAGGACGGATGACTCGTTCGAGAAGAGTATGCCTCGCGGGTGCAACAGATGAAAAACTCACTTGAAAATTTAAGCACTTGTTAGCATCTCAAAAACCTTAATTTAATTTTGAAAGTAAAATATTTGCTTTCGAACTAAATTTAGAGCAAATTTCTATTTACAGCACAAATGCCTCATCAATATAGTCTCTTAAACTATAAAACCACTGCATTATCTTTCCTAAAACACTATAATAATAAATAAAAAACACAACCTAGTATCCTATACTTACTGGACAACAATGAAGGATTACTATCTGATCAATATCATAAATCTATTAAAAAAAAAAAAAAAAGAATATCAACGTAACTGGTCGCATGAAAGAGCTAGAGTTTGAGATAGAACGGGGACATGGAGTAGACGACTTCTCTGTATCTTCCAGCAAGTCTCCTTTTCGGCATCATCAATACTCCCATTGATAGATTGAAATAGTCTCAATTGATTAAAGAAATCGTAAAATGGCAATGGCACGTTGATGTTGCTCTTGAATTGTAATTCACGATGAGTAGGAACAGAAGCGTACACATGCCTACGAAATAAACTGGGTTAGTAGGCATATATTGAAAAGAAGAGAAGGAGGAAGTAAGGGAAATCTGACATTCCACTTGTTGGCATAACCCCCCCCCCCCTCTCCCCCCTCTTGTACAAGAAAACACAAAACAAGTTGGCTGCGACTATTATATAACTCTAAATCTCCCCACCCTGACATCATCCGCTGCATTTGATCAACAACTCCATTGTTCCCCCCCCCCCCCCCCTCTAGAGGATCACAAAAGTAATTTGAGTGGATAATACGCTTAACTCAATTTCCAACACTGGATGTCGCAACCTCCCTCATCCGAGCGCGTGTCACTAAAGCGTTCCTCCAACAACCCCCACCGCACTACAAGTGAAACCAGGCTATACATGTCTTTCTAGAACAAACCGTAGTTCGCAATTTACTGGAACCATCACGGCCGTAGGGGAAAAGGGGAAGGGGAAGGGAGAGGGGGCAAGTCAGTTTGATGAGAAACTACATAATTAATGATTGCGGGCCACTTAACCCTTTTTCTACCAACATGCTGCCCCAACGGCTTCTTCAAGCTTACCACTTAATTCAGCCCTCTGCAGTAGAAGAAGCATAGCATCATTGCAGAATACAACAGACAGACAAATTGCTTTACACTTGACCTAAAGAATTATACGACACAAACAAACAAAAGAAACCTGATCATAACCTACGACACGGCTGTTGTAGAGACCATCCGATTCTTTACGCCTGTTCTCCTCTGCTCAACGATATGCCAACACAAATAAAACTGATTAAATGTAAAGGAACTTAAAAGATTTAGACTCAATCCCGGAAAAAAGACCAGACATTTGACCTTAGAACCTTAGAAGAAACGAGAACCAAGCCACTAAGACTTAACCCTTACTCAACAAGCCATGCTTTCTATAAGAATCGTTAGTTGAAATAAGAACCCTTCCATGAAATATGTACATGTATTCGGGGCATAGCAATCAAACAACAGAAACAACAACAGATTTTTTATTCTGACATAAAGGGCCAAAAGCTTTGAAGAAAAAAGTCTTCTGGCCAGAGCCAAAGACTGCGCATGCCCGACGCCCATGCGCAGTAGTCCGGACGCCTGTGCGTCCGTCTGTTGAACAGGCACTCGGGGCAAATCTAATTTGACCATCTGCGCAGCGGGGACAGTCCCCTGACAGTGAGCAATTCCCGGGCCCCCGGGAACACAGGGCCGCTTGTTGCACTGGAGCTATGCACTACGCACTATACCGGGAGCCTGAGCGTAAAGCCCCCCCGCTCATATTAGCCATCTTTTTATCTTCGTATCGGCGCCTTCCTCTCTCCTTCCTCCTTCTCCTTCTCCTTCTCTCGCTCTCTCTCTCTCTCTCTCTCTCTCTCTCCCCTTCTATTCTTCAAAATCAGTCAGCCCACGCCCTGTCCGTTTATTTATTTATCAGTCTCTCTCAAAAACCGGGTCAGCAAAAGAAAAGTTAAGCTTAAGCCCTGAATAAACATGTTCAATATTATTGACAGGTTTCTTTACAAAAAACGGAGCTTCCATTGCGGTAAAGTTTTCAGTAACGACGCAGGCAGGACATGATTGTTTTAAAAAAAAAGTAATTTCAAAAAGGGAAAGATTGTCTAGCTATTTACTGAAATAGCAGCTAGCGTTGGTTTAACTAAAGTAAATTGTCAGTTTTAGGTCGTTATTTTACCACATTTTTGAACATTTAAATCTGATCATTGACCTAATCAATACCGTGTTGTGACTGCAACCAACTTGTGTTTCGCGCGCTCATATGACCTTAATGTAGTTAGTTACGAGAGCTGTAAATCTCTTACTAAACTAACTTAGGCATGAGCGTGAGCAAGGGCAGATGGGAAAATGTGGGCACCACACCACCATGAAGATACCTCTACACTCCCTCCTTCTTCCTATCTACACCATCATCCCCTTCCTTTCGGATAACCTTCCTACCCTTATCCAGCTATTTGCTTACCCCCCTCGCGTGGTCAATAAGGAAGGCGTCGAGTGACCGAAGCGGCGGGGAAACGTTTAATGAGAAAAGGTGTACGATGGCGGTCCTAATTAAACCACGATTGGATCACGATTGATTCTATATCTCCAGACGGATGCGGGGTGAGATAACGGAACCAACTTAGTGACAAGTTCAATGACTTTGCAGCTTATAAAGGCTTCGGCTCGCCAGTTATATAGCAGCTGGCCTTTAGATTTTAGTAACCACTGAGACGTAACGTGACAAACACGCCTTCACGCAAAGCTCGACATGGGAGACATCGTAACATGCTCTTAATTTACACACCCCAATTGACACAATGTGGATGACTAGCCCTGCCTCCAAAGACCAACCAGGACTGAGTGGGATAAAGCATCTTAGTAGAAAAATGAAGACACTATATTAATTTTTTATTTTTTTAACCCAAATTACAAGCAGTGGGAAAGCAAAAAGTGAGAACTGGGCAGAGGACAAAAGACAAAGGGGCTAAAAGAGAGGGG